GCCGAACAACACAATGGCAAAACGTAACTGACGCATCACACGCAACATGGGTGCATAATGCATTTGGTCTTTCTTCAACCGTCATAATTTTAAGAAAATCATTTTGTCCTACGTCATATGGGCCACGTATTACATAAAGTACCTAACACTAAATAATTTTAAATGTAAATTACACTTCCCTGATCACTAGTTTGGATTTGCTACACCTGTCTCTGGTGTGTTTTTGCAATGGTGAATGTTAACGTAACCGAATTTTAAGATTTGTATGACGAAAATATCTTAGATCTTTTCAACTAAAGTAATATTATTATTTATATAATAAGGGCATAAGAATAATTTCACATAATATACCCTCAAGAAGAAAATGTAACAAATTCGAACTGAGGAGGAGGTAAGAATACTTATTTCGAGTTCATATAGCATTTGGATTTTCAGTCTAGTTCATATTCCTTTCATTTATAAACAAAAATTTAAATAAATATATATATATATATATATGGAATCGTCATTTATAAACAAACTTATGGAATCTTCATTTCATTTACCAACGATTCCAAGAACACATGGGACACCTACGATGGTTTTTTATACATATATATATATATATATATATATATGTACAAAATGCAAAGGAAAGGGAAATGGAAAGGGAAAATGGGAATTATTTACAAATCTTGGATTTTCTAGGGAAGAGTAAGAAAAGATGTAAATTACACTTCCCCTGATCAGTAGTTTGGATTTGCTACACCTGTCTCTGGTGTGCTTTTGCAATGGTGAATGTTAACGTAACCGAATTTAAAGATTTATACGACGAAAATATCTTAGATCTTTTCAATTAAAGTTGTATTTATATAATAAGGGCATAAGAATAATTTCACATAAATAATATACCCTCAAGAATAAAATGTAACAAATTCAAACTAAGGAGGAGGTAATATATATATAGTTTTTTCCAAATTTTCGTTTATATATGAAAGGACTATGAACGGATAATCCAAATGCTAATTTAACCAAACTTATGGAATTTTCATTTCATTTACCAACAATTCCAAGAACCCATGGAACACCTACCATGGTCTTATATATATATATATATATATATATATATATATATATATACACATATATGAATATGTACAAAATGCGAAGGAAAGGGTAAGGGAAAATGAGAATCATTTACAAATCTTGGATTATAAAAATCGGAGATTTTCAGGCGGAGAAGACGCCGTCAATGGCTGCAAGACCAATCTGGCTTTTAGGCTCCAAAACCCACCTGACCAGCACCATGTCGTCGTCTCCAAATTTCTTCTTGATCCCAGAAATTGACCCATCAATCCGATGAGTCAACCAAGTAACACAAGAAAACAAGCCAATCTCTTCCCCTCCGGCGCCACTCTTTCTTGAATTCTTGACCCTCCTCTCGTACTCCTCTGCAACTAACATAGCAATATCTGCCATTTCTCTCTTTCTCTCTCTCTCTCTCTGTTGGTGGAATATTAGTATTTGTTGTGTTTCTCTCGCTAAAATCAGACCTTAATGGACAGCATTTCAATTGGGATATTTATATAGGGACGACTAAGCAGAAATGGGTTGCATAGTCGGTGGATAAGGTTGCCAGGTGATGCGTTTGGAAATTATATTGTATTATGGGTGGTATTGCTGATTACTTGTTAGGTGGTTTCTGACATGTTTCGGTGGTTTAATCATCCCATGATGTTCTAGTGGAATGCAGACTCTTTTTATATTCGCACTACCAACTCATTTCTATGTAGATATTTGAAGATTGGGTATCCCTTTATGCTCCGATAATTAGGAATGAAAAATATTGAATGGAAGGGATAAAGGACTACATGGATGCGACATTTCTGTGGCAGAAATTGTTACTTATCTGTTTTTCATTCAATTGAATGGAAGAGCAAATAATAAATTCATAATTTACTTTACTTATTACTAAATAATGGAAGATGTATTTTAAATTATTTATCTATAATATAATTTATTGACAATAATATTATAATTTAATATGATAGTAATTTAAAACATTCATAATAGTTTCACTTGTTTTCCCTCTTTTCTTCTAGCAATATTTGCGGCTCATCTCTCTTATTATGCTATCAATTGTTGTCTCCTCTTTATTGAACAAAAGAAGCCTGTTTATTCCTTTTTATACACCTCTACCTTCCATCCTACGGAAGAAAACAATAGTTAAGATTATTACACTTTTGTTTGAATAATTACAATTATCTCTTTTCTACTTACATAAACCGACTTGCATTGCCAATTTCACTTATGTTCAAAGATGGTCAACAGTCATATAGTAAGTTTTTAATTTAAAATATACAAATACGTCGTTCAAATGTGAAAATACTTTGTCTAATGTATTGTTGACCATCTCTAACTGTTATTGAAATTGACGGGATTGATCGGTTTGTTATATATATAAATGGAAGGAAAATAACTATAATTAAAAAAAGAAAAAATTAATATCCCCTAATCTTACAAAAATGACCATCGTCTCTGTCACCTCTCATGCATAGAAGAGATTTAGATTTGTTAAGATCAATACAACTATTTCAAGCCTCTAAATTGAAAATTGATATAATTTTTTTGTCCAATACCATTCTGCCACTACTCGAAATAATTGTGTTGAATCACAATTTAATTTGGTACCTAGATTTGGACACTACGAATGGTATAGGATCCAAATTCCATGCGTTAAGAGGGTGAGATCTCTTCTAGAAGAAAAGGTCCAGTACTTTCGGTGCAAAACTAAGGGCTAAGATCGAGTCACATCATTCAAAACTTAAAAAATGCTAAAAAGACGATGTTCCCTACTTAAAAATGTTTAATAAAAATTTGTTTTTTATCCCAAACTTTTCACTATTTCAGACCTTCCTTCCCTCCACCCCCACCCTCTCTCATGTCATCAACAACAAAGAATCTCTCTCTCTCTCTCTCTCTCTCTCTCTCTCTCTCTTCGTCAGCTACCAATAGAACCAATTACAAGTCTGACTAAGCCGTGGTTTGGAAGGTTCTTTCAAACAAATACACTGTATATATATATATATATTTGTGTCTATCATGTTAGGTTTTCATTTTAAATTTAATTTGCATTGAAATATATATATTTATAGTGAGCATGTTGACACTTATATTATATTTGATACGTAGAAATAGAATATTCATTTTAACTATTTCTTTGTTTGATATGAATCTTATAATCATTTCCTTTGAAAGAAATTTTTTTAACTATTTCTATGATTGGTATCAAATTTCAAAGTAGGAAAAATTGTTCAAAAAATTCATTTCACAATTAAACTTATGGAATGTCTATTACGTTCCTAAGAATTTAACGTAAAATAATTTTTGATATGAATCTTACAATCATTTCCTTTGAAAGAAATTTTTTTAACTATTTCTTTGATTGGTTTCAAATTTCAAAGTAGGAAAAATTGGTCAAAAAATTCATTTCACAATTAAACTTATTGAATGTCTATTACATTCCTAAGAATTTAACGTAAAATATTTTTCGAAAAATATTTTTTTCATTTTCTGATATTTGATTATCGTAAAATATTTACAAAAATATATATATATATATATATATATATTAAAATTTAATAAAAATAACTTATCCATCAATTTTCGACAAGTTATTTTACATGTCCCGCCCGATAAACTCAACCTCAATCTTGACGTACATTTTTGCCAAACACCGACAATGTAAAAATAAAAGAATATTTTACTTGAAAACAGAAAAATATTTTTAAAAAAAATATTTTACGTCGAAACAAACAAGCGAAAACCATGTGCCAACTAGCCTAGGAGGAGTATCCAGTCTTATAGGCTTAGGTCTCACCGAGGCTCTTTGCCTCGAGTGTCTGTTGCTCTGCTCTGTGTTGCTATTGTTTCTAAAACGTAGCCCAGAAGTTTGAGGCTCTTTGTCTCGAGTGTCTGTTGCTCTGCTCTGTGTTGCTATTGTTTCTAAAACGTAGCCTAGAAGTTTGAGGCTCTTTGCCTCGAGTGTCTGTTGCTCTGCTCTGTGTTGCTATTGTTTCTAAAACGTAGCCCAGAAGTTCAAGCTTTCGTTCCCTTTCTAAAAGTAGCAAAGGTCTCTAGCCTCTTCTCTAAGTTATTGCTAGCTGCCGATTCCCTTTCTATCTCAAGAGAGAAAGATATATACTATAGAAAGATATCCAATGGAGCCTTTCTTTGCTTTGCTACGCGGTAGCACATTCTTCGTGGGAGTGCTGTATTCCTTGTTTAGGCGACAAACGTAACTAATTCCCAAAAACCCTCTTCTTTCAAGTCCAATAACCACCACCACCTGCCTTCCACCATCGTCACTATCACCGCCACCACTACCGCCGTCTTCAACCGCCACCACCACCTCCACCACACTGTCGTCGTTACCACCACCACCGCCATCTCCACTGTCTTCCACCGCCGCCGCCTTTCACCGCCGTTGCGTCACCATCACCACGACACCATGTCGCCTTCCACACGGCCACCACCTTCTACCACCACCGCCGCCGCCACCACCACTACTGTCGCCTTCCACCTACACCGCCACTATTGTCACCACCACTGCCTTCCACCATCACCACCTTCATTGCCTTCCACCACCACCACCATTGCCTTTCACCACCATTGGTTCCACCACCTACACCAGTGCCACCTTCCACATAATAATAAGATAAGATAATCCAACCAAAACGTTTGAAATGGCATATTTAAACAGCATCTTTCTGATGTGAAGCACCCTCCTTGTATAGGGTAGGATTTGATCTCATAGCAAATAATGAAATGCACTCGTCATGGAATATATCTGGGTAAAACCCATAAAACCCAACTTTCTGATCTGTAAAACAATTCACTCTGTGGAGAAAGTTTGCATAAAATTCAAAAACTAGACATAGTTGATCCAAAATAACATTATTTGAACACACAAGGTAATCTGAAAAGGCAGCACGCTATTCTTGCAGACAAAAAAGGCATCGTCGATGGAAACTTTCATCATATGCTTTTCGTCAATAAATTCAAATTATTGATATTCCATATCCTTCTACAAAAGTAAAATACAACTGTAACACTTATACATATACCTTCAAAGGTGTCATTCACAAATTTACAAACACAAGAAGACAACATCAAGAACATTTGAGATCTCTTGTTCAGTAGCTGAATAAGATGCGTTTCAACTTTCAGAATAAATAGTAATAAAACTCAATAGCCCCATATTACCTAAATAAAGGGTCATCCCGCATTTCCTGTAGAAGTTATTAGAAATCATAGGAGGCCAAGTGTTTTCAGCTGCTGAACATGTTCAGGTGGAAGAGGAGGAGGAGACCAATCAGATCCAGTCATCTCGCCATCAACATCCTCGACAACATATTCCTGATTAAGCAGTTAATGAACCTTCAGAAGGATAATTGATGGGCAAAAAACAGTGGACAATTAAGATTAACAATCAACAAAAGTTACAAGAGGGTGTACATAATGCTGCAACCCTTGTCAGGACTAATGGATACCCTCAGACAATTGGATACCCTAAGTCTTATTTTCAAAACAATCAACAAGTCACAAGATTTAATTAACTATGTTGCTCCATACGGTTTTAAAACGGGGAAACAACCTCTCCGTATGTAGGGGGTAAAGCTGCATACATCTATTCCTCTTGAGACCCCGCACTGATGGAAGCCTTGTGCACTGGACTAGCCTTGTTTTATTACAAAATTATTATAGAAAACATTATAAAAGTATTTGTCCTCTATGTTTGTTAAGTCCTAGGAAGTATGACCTGTCCCTTGAACTAGTTTCGTTAGCAAGACTGTTCTTTCAAAATCCGAATTACCAAACCTTGTGCAATAAGTTTTGGAGAAGTTGAGTACCTTTTCTTTTTTTTTTTTTTTTTTTTTTTTTTTTTCCTAGTTGGTACTCACACACACTTGTCTCTTCTGAGACTTGAACCCTTGACCTCCTTTTGGGAAGTAAGAGGCTGATACCGCTAGGCCACCGACCCGTTGGTTGTTTTGAAAATAAGTGGAGTACTTTTTCACCAAAACATCCTAGAATTTAGCTATTAATTGAAACCCCATTTAGTGGCTTACTTGGCCGAGCAAGTTAAAATCTTTGGCCTTACTTTCTGTATAGCACACCCTAAAGGTAATTTCATTCCATATTTACAGCTAAAATGTGGTTAAGCTGTTCTTATTTGTGCCCATCCTAAGATAAGGCTTTGTTGAATGCCCAAGTTGGATTTGGCCAGCTTATTCACCATATGACTAAGTAATGACAATGTAAAGTATCTCAGCAGATAAAAACAAAAAGCGACTCTTGGCTTACTTTTGTTAGCATCCTTTTTGCAAGTATGTGATAATGTCGCTGCCAAATCCTTTGTCCAACCATTGTAGCCACCAGTACACTGTAAAATATGCCAATCACAGTAAATAGCCCCAGCACAACCAAAGCCATTATAAATAATAATGGCAGCCCAGCTTCGCCAGCACCTCCTAAGCAACCACATTCACCCGCAGCACTACCACAACTTTCGACGCATGTCGTACAGTCAGTCCACATGCAAAGAGTGCCAGGTAAATGGCAGTCTGCACACATTCTGTGAGGAAGACAAACAGAATTAATTCAACTGACTCAATATAATACACACACACAGATTTTTCCAATATTCACATGGCCTAGCATCTAAGAACATGCTGCTTTTCAACAACAATTACAACTTATCCACCTTATGAACTCGTTTGAAATGAGATGAACATCATATACAAGGAACTAGGAATCCATAATATTTCAATAGTTCAACCTAAAAAGGAAGGGAAACCTCCTCCTCTTTCTCTTTTATATGCAAGTTTGATGAAGAACCAAGAGATAAAAGCAAATAATAAAAATAATAAGGCAAAAGAGAGGAGGATGCACAATCAATTAACATGTGAAACTGTGGGATTACAAGAAATCTCAACCAGACAACAATAGAGGATATAAATTGTGAGAGAACACAACCACACTAGAGTTAACCGGTTAACACTGCAACACAACCAACAACTCTAACCAATACTGGGAAACAAAAATTCAAGAAGAGTCGAAGTGAATAAGTGATTTGCAGTTCGAAGCTAAGAAGGCTAGATTCAGTGCCACCAACTGTTCCTTCATTCCCAAACTTCTCTGAACAAGAGGCATATACACTTACTTGAGAATTGACAAACCTTTTTGGAAGCTGAATCACTAAAGTATGAGCTGGACAACTAGTTGGAGAAGTTGAGGCCTCTACAGAAGTATTAGCTGGACGACTAGTTTTCTGGAAACTGAATCACTAGGGAGAAGCAAATTCGTGACGAGCAAATCGCGTGCCTGAGAGTAGACTCATGAGAGTTTGGTTGATCGGTCTGTGTCAAGAGGCAACTAGGGTTTGGGAACTTCAACCTAGTTGCAAATCTCTTTCTCATAGCGGATTCAGTTTGCCTGGACTAAGTCCCATGGTTGGTTTTTTCCATTTGGATTTTTCACAAACCCACAAACCCCCCACCCCCCACCAAAAAAATAATAATAATAAACCAACGGGCCCCACCCAAAAGTCTTGGTCACAAACCCTGCGAGACTCTACATCAGAGTCTTGGGTTCCAGTCCTTGCAAGCATCAAATAGGCTTCCTTTTTCAATTTCTGTAGAGATTCTACTAGCCAAGATGTTACAAAGTCGCACATAAAAGGCACCAAACAACAAATAAAAACAATTGGGCTTCTAAACCCAATAGCAGGCGAAAAATAATATATATATATATAATATATAGAACCTTTTTTTTTTCTTCGGTTTGGGACGCCATCAATACGCTAACTTTTTAAGCAGATATCAAAACAAATTATACTCTTCTAAGCTCTAAACCATGTTTTTTTAATAAGAGACGTGTATGAAGATGAAAACATACATAAAGACCTCAGTACAAAACATGACAAAACCATGAAGTACAAATACTAATCAAGGACAAGCTGCAAACAGTATTGACAAGACTAATGGTAGTAACAATATTTATAATAATAAATAACGAAAACTTTCTTTTGGTTTGCCCGCAAACAATATTGACAAGACTAATGGTAGTAATAATATTTATAACAACAAATAACGAAAACCTTCTTTTAATTTGCCCTACTTTCATTTTGCAACACATTTGAAAACCGTGTAATGATAGTGTTTTTGTACAATCCGATCTTGCCAAGTCGACCACTACCCTAATTCATAGGAACTCAGTTTCTCAAAATTGACCTAAGCTGAGGGCCCGTATGTGGACCCGTATTTGAATCCAAGCTGGATCTTACGTACATAAATCGTTATCCCATCACAATAGTACATGGATAATCCAAATGAATCATAACACAACAAAAAGTACTTGAATTGGATTGGATCTCAGGTTAATTGTGATCTATTTCCACCCTACCTGAACAAAAATATGCACGGATTCAAGAAGGATGTACTATTGAATTTTCACCCCTACTTGAACACAAATGAGGCACCGATTCACGAAGGATGTCCCAAAGAATATTCATATTAGACCCATCGTTTCAATTCAGATTTAAAAATACAGTCCAAACCCAATAAAATGGATGTGTCAGATCGAACGCCAGGTCAAGACTGAACATTTCATACCATAATATCTTGGATGACCAGACCACCTTGGGTAAGTACAAAATCTAAAACAACAGCAGCAGCAGCGGCGGCAATTATAACACTAAGAAGTTAATAACAACAATACAGTAAGCCAACAGTAAGAAATGAAACATTCATTCAAGTATGTCATATTCCAACCATAAAACAGAATTATACCCGGGCTGACAGCAACAAAGACACAATTCTCGACACGGTTGAGCCAGATCATTCCTCACTCTTCGATCATAACAAGTTATGAAACAGCCAGATAATCCCAGCAATGCGAAAAACAGCAGTGCCCCTGCACTCACCAACAAAAAGAATATAAGCATTAACATCAATGGAACCAGCATTAAAGCACTGATGCATGAGTAGGAAGCAGAGGTCACGTTTCCTAGATACTATTGTCACAATGTGACGTGTTTAGAAACCTCTACCACACTTTTGTTTATATAAATTAATCTACATTTTATATTCAAAAAGTTCTTTCAAACTTCATAACCACTTCCAACCTTTAACCATATGAAATTTAAACCTGTACCCAAATTTCAGGATTTTTATAATAGAAAGTTGGTTCCAATTTATTGAGTAATTTTTCCACAATTAAAATTGTCGAAGTAGAACCTGAAACCTTGATGTTGCTACTGTGATTTCAAACTTACAATGCACTGCACATCACTCAACCAAAAAAAGGTTGGTATCAACAAGATGGAATGGACCTTGTATGACCACACTGATCAAGGTTCTTCCCTTTTTTATGAATCATAAATTCAGAAATCAAAAGTAGATTTCCAGGGCCTGTTCACTAACAGGAATTAATTCCTACTTTTACTTTCTAAGAAAGAAAAATAATGATTCTGATTTCTTAGGGTAAAACAGAAAGTAAAATGAGGATGATGGGTGAGCAGAAGAGGGCTACAGTGACAGAAATTACTTTCTGTCTACAGTGTAGTAAGTAGAGAAAGTAACAAATCGTTACTTTCTCTTTTCTTCATTAAAAGAGGAATTACTTTCTTAGTTGAAAAGTAAAATTATATTAGTAAAGATGATTTGTATTTTTACTTTACGTTTTTAGGAATTGACAGTCGAAAACAGGAAGTAAAAGTGTTGGTGAACAGGCCCCAAGTGACAAGTCTTATATTTTAGAATTTCAGATTTGGTCAATTTCAGCATTCTCCATCGCTGAGAATGCTGTACTTGACACAGTATCAATAGGACTTCATAAATTCAGGACTTAAAACCTTGAAAAGAAAATGTCCATTGCAAAAAGGAAGTATCACCAGTACTTGAACAAAATCCTACAAGGAGCTAAGGAAAACCAATTCTTAGCCCATCAATATTTTAAAGTTCCACGAGTTTATCTCCACTTGGACTGTAAGAGTTGATTTATGCAAACCCAATCTACTAATGCTCCATTTGGCAAGAGGGAAGGGAAAGTGGATAGAATAGATTGGAAGAAAGAAGGACTAGGAAGCACGGACACTCCAAAATAGGCAAAGAATCCATGTCCGACACGTGTCGGACACAGACACGAGTCGGACATGCCCTGACACGTGTCGGACACGGCACGGACACTCCGCGGACACGTGTCCGACACGCCAGGGGGGTGTGTCCGACACGCGTGTCTTATTTTCGGGGGTCTAAAAGATATTTTTTGAAAGTAAGTTGGGTTAAAGTATAAATATATGAAGTTATTTAACAATTATGTGGTCAGAACATAATAATTTTAAACTTTCAAGGTTAATATGCAATTTTAAACAAAAGAAATAGATATTTAAGGCTAGTCATTACACTATTACAAGATGAGATTCAAAGGACGTCTGGGTTGCTCTCTCAAAGTGACGAAGCTCTGCAACTTCCTGCTGCCGATCAAAGGCGACTCCCTCCAGGTTAGTCTCTCTCTCTCTCTCTCTCTTCCCACCCCCCCCCCCCCCCTCCTCTTTTCTTCCTCCTCCTTCCTCTTTTCTTTCTTTTTCTTCACAAACCCTAATTTCTTTTTCTTTTTCTTTTTTTTTTTTTTTTTTTTTTTTTTTCTCACTAACCCCAGTTTCTTTCTTCTTCTTTGTTTTAATTATTTTCATTTTTCACAAACCCCAGATTCTTTCTTCTTTTTTTCTTTTTTTCTTTTTTTTTCATTTTTCACAAACCCGTCTTTCTGTCTTTCTTCTTCTCTGGTGTTTTTTCTTTTTCACAGACCCTAATTTCTTTCTTCTTCTTCTTCTTCTTCTTCTCTTCTGTTGTCTTTATTCTTGATTTAATTTCAGCTGGTGTGACTTATTGACCTGTAAATAAATAGGATTTCATCTTTGATTTAATTTCAGCTGTTGCATATGAATTGTGAATCTGTGATCAAATAGGAATTTATTCATTCTTTGCTGACTGCTGTAAGTATGGATGTTTTTTTCTTTTCTTTTTATGTCTAGGGAATAAGACATTTCAATGCTGTCTACATCAGTTGCTAGTAGGGAATTAGACATTTTAAAGTACTACATCATATGTATATATATATATATATATACTATTCGCCGTATCCCCGCCGTGTCCGTGTCCTAATTTTTTTGGATTTGCCGTGTCGCCATGTCCATGTCGTGTCGTATCCGTGTCCGTGCTTCTTAGAAGAAGGAAGATGCATCTTTAGGGATGAGAAGGCTTATACCCTCCTTTTTTTTAGCTTGGTTAAGTGGAAGGAAAGGAGAAGGATCAAACACTCCACTATTTTGTAGGAGGGAAGGAAAGACAAGACTTTGAATATTATTTTACCACAATACTTCTATCTATATAAAGTAAGATAAATGTGACCACCAAGGCGTGTATCTTACAAATATCTCCTCTCCTTTCAAAATGAATGGTGCAAGGTTCAAGTCTCTCAAGAACATTGTCGGAGATCTTTGCTAGTTGGAAAAAAATAAAAATAAAAAAATAAAACATGTGACATGATAGAGTTTGATAACCAAGGGCAGTAATGTCCTCATCATTCTAGACAAAAATTTCCTTCACTCGTCCCTCAAGTTTTGGGTTCCCGGATCTAGATTGATGTCACATCCATGCTCTCTCTCTACCAAATTATGGAAGCATGTTCCATCCTTGTCCTCTTCCCTCCTTTCCCCTTCCCTTAGTTTTAAGGAATTTCCTAGAACAGTACAAAAAGTAAATAGATGATCAATGACACAGTTCTCCTAATATAATGCCAAGTAAATAGCCAAAGTTCGATTGGCCAAATTAACAAAATGAAAGAATATAATGCCAAGTAAATAGCCAAAGTGATTGATTGGCCACATTATAAAAATGAAAGAATATAATGCCAAGTAAATAGCTAAAGTGATTGATTGGCCACATTATCATAGATAGAAAAAAATATATATTTGATTGAAGTGGCAATAAAACCTACCTAGCTTCCATTGCTCTCAAGATCTTTCAATTAGGACTACCATTCTAAACTTCAATTACCTATCAAACATTTTCTTTCCATTTAGAGAGAGAGATGAAAGAAAGAAAGGGAAAAAAATGATTGAAGAGGCAATAAAACCTACCTAGCTTCTTTTACTCTCCATATCTTTCAATTAGGATTATCATTCTAAACTTCAATTTCCTATCAAAAAATTTCTTTTTATTTGGATTGAAGAATTTGAAACGTGGATTTGTGTTCAATTATTCAACCAATTATAGCATAAATTTAGTACGAGTAATCTAACCTTTAGATTTAAGTTTTAACAAAGATTTGAGAGTTGTATGTATGTATGGATTTCAAATAACAAGATGAACAGAGTTATCTGAAATCCATCCTGACAAGATTCTAACCACGCAATGATTGCAATATAATGTCTCTATTTCCTCTAATCCAATATCCCCTTAAGTTTTCGGATCCAAATTCAATAAACAATCTTTCATTTAAACTTAGATCCATTCATTTATCCAAATGGACCATTATAGAGCAATAGAAAAGTTAAACTCCTCCTTTGTTTAAAATATTTAAGAAGCAAGAAAGAGCATTTGCACTAATGAGTTTTGGCTCATTTTAGGGGCTTACAAAAGGCTTGTTCATATCATGATTACAACAAGTCTCCAGAGTGCTTTTACACATATAACATTTATTTTTAAACCAAAATTTCTACAATAAAAACTAATAATACAGATTTTTTTTCTTTTGTAATAAATCATGCTCGACCTAGTGAGTACTAGATGACAAAACAACCCACCCCGTTGAGTGCCTACCCCATTTAGAAGGGTTATGGGGATAATTAAATGGTTTTGGGTGAGAATGGGGGCTAATATTGAAAACACACTCAAGTGCAAGGCGGCACAGGAAAAGGTCACCCCACCCCATTTATACTACAAAATTACTAGTTTACTCTTATAATTTATTTTATGTACAAAATGCCACTAGGTATATATACTTTAAGAAACCCTAGGTTTAACTTCTGCCACTTGGCCGCTCTCTTTGTCTCTCACTCTCTCTGCTCAACCAATGTAAAAGGAAATCGCTTGGGAAAGTGAAAAACTATAAATTTCACATCAATCTTTGATTCAACGTGATTTACATGTATATATATGTATACAAATGTGTTTATATATATTTGGAGATCATATGTGAATGTGTTTGTACTTGGATACTTGTGTTTGATTTTTGGTGATTTTGATCGTTTTGAGTGAGGCTTTTTGTTTCAATGATTGTCAATTTAAGTTTGACATACATTTTGATGCATTTGGAGATTAATTCAGTGTAAAAATCATTCTTGAACATGCATTTATTTGCAATGCAACATAAGTGTTGGTGGAAATTCCACAAAGGTGTGGAGGAGGAAATTAAATCGGGCAGGTTGGAGGAAATTAAACGGGGTCGGGGATGAGATTAGGGGGTACTTCAATAAAGAGTTTTGGGCGGGGACGAGAGGAGCTTTGCTAAACAAGGACGGGGATAGGGAGGGGGCCGTTCCAAGCCTGCCCCAATGCCATTCCTCCTAACAAGCCTCAAATTATAATAAAAACAGAAATTATGATACAAAAAACAAATTGGGGAGAAATGATAACCTTTCTTCACTTCATTGGAAAGAGTTAACTGCTGAACATGAAATTTAAAAAAAAAAAAAAGTCAAGTCTGTTGATTTAGGTAGAAACATTCTAGTGACAAAGGTATAATCTAATCATTATCTTCCAACAACTATTGAGTCCAGAAATATTCTGTTAAAAATGTGAAGACAAGAATTATTTAAGTATTCAGAAAGTCAAGCACTCAAGCTAAATAATGATCCACTTAATTTCAGGACTTTAAAGCCTTCAAACTAACAACAATAAATCATTTTATAATACAAGAAAATCAATCCCAAACCTTTCCCATTTAAATAAACAAATCAGAGTTTAGCTACGTTGTTAATAAAAAATATTTTCCTCTTCAAGTTATCCTGAAAAATGAAAGAATGTGACTCTAGACAAGAACCCATCAACCCATCAATCTTAATGGAAACCCCACAATAAAAATTCTATTACACTACAAGGAAACGAAAATGAACAACACTGACTATTGAGAATTATACACATAACAGAATCCTAATAACTATTACTTGTTTCAAGTTCTAGGGGCTTTACCACAGATGTAGTAGAAACTCAGAACACTATCAAAACCCCATGCCAAACGAAGCCAGAACTTCTGGTAACCATCAATTAGATACACTAAATATGCCAATGAAGCAATCACCTACAAAGAATATAAAGAAAATAGATCAGAAGACAACACTAGAAAATACAATATTTGCAGTACATGAAAGAAATATAAAGTGAAAGAGAAATTCAAAAGAAGAGGACCAACGACCTACAAGCTGAACAGTGAGAAATATAAACAAAATGTCTCTGGTCACAAAAAATCGAAATTTCAAAGTTCGCCATTTCCTATCAGCAAGAACATGAACTCTCAAATGATAAGGGGCCTTGCAGGTTGTGCAATGAGCAAATGCAAATCCTTCCTGCAGAAAGTGAGATGATTAGAAATACTTATGAAAACATTAGATGACTAAATGCTGCTATCGGTAACACCTATCGATAACACCTAAGGAACAATGCGTAAATATATGTTAAAAATAATTGGACAATCTCAACCACCTTTTAATATGGGGCATGACTCTCAATAAAAAATCTTATTCACATGGCAAGTGTCAAATTAAGAGCATGTTGTGGCATAGTACAACATACTTGCACCCAATACACTTGACAAAAATAATAATGGAACTGTTAAATTCAAAAAATAGTGTCAATATTTTGATACAGATATTCAAGACTTCCATTTCAAATGTGCATCAACTGTTTACACTTGTTTCAAGAATCAAGAAGGACTAAAGTGACGGATATACAAGAATTAATGTCAGTTTGAACAAACTTATGAAGCACTGTTGATGAATTGGAATAATCACAATAAATCAGATTATTCCTCACTGCAGCGACTTTTAGATGATCGCACACTGTTTGAATTATTTTAAGGTTCATGTCTTGAAATGAGGCTCGAGAAAATATTCAAATAACAAGAGGTTCATATCACCCAAGGGCTTAACCCAATTGGTATCTCCTCCTCGCAAAATGCAAGGTTAAGAGTTCGAGTTGATTAGTCAATATGGGTTAGTGTTTTGACTTTACCTACCAAAAACAAAAAGGTGGTTCAGACCTTGTACTGTGGGGTAGACATTGGGTGTGACTCATACATTAACCAAAAACAAGGTTCCTTTCCCAAATTTAAGAACTTATATTTCGTGGTCTTTCTTGTTAAGATTTTAAAAACACTTTATCTATTTTACATTGTTAACAACCATCTACATTTTACTCCAAAAGCTTAAGCTGTTACAGGAGGTGTAACTTAAATATTTAAATCCTTCAACACGCCCCCTCATGTGTGGCCTTTTTCTTTTTGGTCTAACATGTGTTTCATCAATTTTAAATTATGGTGACGGTAACTTGTCAAAAAAAAAAAAAAATAGGGTGACGGTGAGGTTTGTACACATGACCTTCCCGCTTTGATACCATGTTAACAACCATCTACTCCAAAAGTTTAAGTTGTTAGAGAGGGTGTAACTTAAATATTTAAATCCTTCAACATACATAAAATATATATATATATATATATATATATATATATATATATATATATACACATATATATGTATATATATCCTTAGAATAAATGCAATAAATTTAACATTCATACCACGGGATGCTTGGCGCCACACTGAAATTCTTTTAATAAGATTCTTAATACACATTTACATACATAAAAAGTGTTTTCGCAGGTGACAATAATGTAAGTACAATTTATAAAATTCAAATTTGAGGCATATGAATTCACATATCTACACAATCGAAAGAATGTCGTTGTAGGTGCCAATCTAGTAGAAAAGATTTTAAAAGGTTAAGGACCATAACTTATTCAACTACATTGAAACAACATTCTGAATCTCCTGAGAAGGAAAAAAAACAAAAATTTATACAAACACATATGTATATATGTACATATGCGTATTCAGTCTGGAAGGGGCTTAATTAGTTCTCAAGCACAATGTTTCTATCAAATAACACAGGTAACATAGAGAATTATCAAAACAAGAACCAAAAGCTACACTATGGCCATAATTTCACAAAACAAGAGAAAGAAGATGGCGTATATACCCTCACAGCTCGCCAATGATCCAGACATTCCCTATGGACATACTTCGATGTCCCTTTGCATTTGCAAGGTGCAATAAAATCCCGACCTGAAGCAAAAATCAGAAACTGCTTCAGTCCAAGTTGTCTTCAGGTGCAAATAGCAGTCAAAAAAATGAACTTGTACAGTTATGAAAAGATATAATCAGAGCTGCTAGAACTTACAAAACCCCATCAGACTAAAAGAGCCATACAACAGTGATATCATAACAATAAACTAAGCCCATGACTGTTTTGTTACTAAAAAAAAAAACGCAGACTGCAATTTTGTTATTTAAAGTGACATATTTCCTTCTATAATTTTGCTAAAAGAACCTATGTAATTACAGAAATATAAGAAAAATTATCGAGATTAATATGATATCAAATTAAAGCACCACATTTATTTTGATAAGTAAAATTAAAGCATCACATTAGTCTAAAACAATGAGCAAGCATCAAATTAAAGCCTCCAATTTATTTAGCTTCCCAAAAAGAGTGGCAAAAATTACATAAAGTCACGCCCTTTATCATGCATTATATAAGAACTATACGGCTTTGATACTGAAACAATGAACCCTTTTCTTTAATTTCACTAAATTGTGACAATAAACTACTATAAATTTAGAGAAATTTAAGGGTAAAAAAAGGTGAATTGGCGAAACCTATGTGAATTACCATCGGTTTCTAGACAAATTCGACACTGAATTTGCTCGCCCGGACCAGCTTCGAGGTCGATCTCGTTGGGTTCGGTGATCGGAGAAGGAGCAACGAGAGGAGAAGAGTCCGCATGATCAGCCATTGACTTCCAGAGAGAGAGAGAGCAACACAATCTAAGAGCCCTTCACAAACAAAAGTCAATAAACAAAAGCCCTATTTCCTCTTTCTCTCTCTAAAACTCTATTGCTATATCTATTCGACTCTCTCTCCTTACTCCTCTCTCTGTATCTCTCCTATTCTGCGAGCTTTGGTGATGGACAACCCAGGAACCCACCAAAATTCTTCTATTCACCGATCAGAAATAATGGGCTTCCTTAAATGACCAAAAACTTGTGTGCTTTTATTTACTCCAATTTTTATTTATTTACTTTTATTCTTTTATTTATTTATTTTTCTATGAGATTTGTCAAAAGACAAGAATCGCCTACTCAAAAGGATATTCATACTTGCAACTGATGAGGTTTAATTACAAAGAGACACGTGTAGTTTGCAACTACAAAATAAGAAAAGTGATAAATAAGAAAATAAAGGAAGGGAATGAATTTATTTAAAAATATATATATTATCCTTATTTATTACTCTCCTAATTTTATAATCACATATTAATCTATCCAAATATCTGTATGCTAAAATTATTGTCAAAACATCCTTCGGGTTTATCCAAATTTTTCTAACCGCCTTATGTCAAGGTTTATTATGTCAATCCAATATTTTTTTAAATGAACAAACTATCGGTAAGTAAGAGAAAATGACTCAAATGACCTTATTAGTATGTTAAATAATCAATTCAACATATAATTCAACATATTTGTTATCAAAATAAAGTATACAATAAATAATTCATATATTCAACACATGAGACATTGGCTAATAATAATTCAATCTTTGATTCATCAACAAACCACTTGTTCAAAAAAAAAAAAATTTGTTTTTAATTGCCCAAAAATTTTTATTTTCAACTCTGAAAAAACAATTCCAATGGGTTGATATCCGATTAAATTTTAAAGAAATGATCATTTGGTATTCTAACAAGGTCATTTGAGTGATATTTGACAGTTTTTCAACTGATAGATATTTGGACAAATCTAAGAAGAGATCATAGACTATTTCTCAATTAGAAATATTTGAACAACCTTAGGAGAGGGCATAATATTTCACTCTAATTGTTACATCTCTGATCTATGTTTGGGAAGCTTTCCTGGCTGCTAAACGAACTTCTAGCTCCTAGTAAGTCATTTTCAGAAAAATAGCTTGTTTGATAAACTAGTGAAGTTTTATAAATGGGGTTTTAAAAAAAAGTTAGTCCATCTAAAAGCCCATTAGGCTGAAGCCATTTTTGAGGCTTTTATAAACTTGGGAAGTTCATAGCCAATTTAAGGAATAAGGTTATGTTTTGATTGGCTTTTCAAACGTTGTTTTTGGCTTTTTAGATTTGAAAACTATTTTGATTAGTGTTTGGGTAGTTTATTAAAAGAGCTTTTGAGGTTTGGAAGAGTGTTTTGGAGAAGCTAGTACCCCTAACTTTTCCAAAACGTTCTTTTGAAACTGGAAGAGTTGCAGTGTTTTAATGAAATTTTTCAAAATGACAAGCGTACCCCTTTTATTACCAAATAAAAAAATATAATTCCAATCCCTATAAAAAGACCTTTAATTTTCTTTCCAAACCCTAATGCTGCTCAACTCGCCTCTACTCAAAAGATTGATATGATCACTCAAATCAGAGGAAAACCCATAGCAATATACAGCCATATACAAATATATATATATATAATTGAGGCATACTTCAATTCATACAGACATTGAGGAAGAAAGAGGCATACTTCGATTCATATAAATATATAGAAACATTGAGTCATACTTCATAATTCATACTCGGGGCAATACGGCCTTACGATACCTTTACGGAAGGTAGGTTGATACTTGATACAAATCTGTGAGAGGGACTGAAAATTCATATAGTAAAAAATTGCTCTTCAAGCTTGACTTTCATGTTTCCTGGGATTGGCTTTGGTCCTTGATTCATTTCGTAAATAGAGACAAAAAGTCTCTTTCTTCCTCCATATATATATATATATTTCGCTCTTAGCAATCAACAATTTGATTCATTCTTGGTTTTGTTTTCTACCAATTACCAGCATATTCTTTTTGCCTTCATATCCTTTTTTGTCTTCAATTTTATTTGGTCTAGATTTTGTTGTCTAAATTTCTTAAACCGTCAAATAGTTTTTGCAATCTATTATTATTTTTATTATTACATATGGGGTATGGATAAATTTTATTATATTGAATAGTTTATTTGTATATATTTAAAAAGAGTAGTATAAAATAAAATAAAAATAAAAAAGTTAAACTACTTTAGGTTGACAAATGATAAAAAAATAAATAAAAATAATCTTTTACGGGCAAAATAGTTATATTAGTAGTAGAATAACTTTAATAAACTTTTTGTCAAACAGACAAAAAAAACTCTTCTGGAACTAAAAGCTCTTCTAAGATGCAGTTCAAAAACACTAACATATAAGCCAAATACAAATAGAAGTAAAAGCTTTCAAAAATTATGCCAAACAGAAGTAAAAGCAATAAGATAGCTTGTACTTCTCTTTTTCTTATGTGTAAAAGCAGAAGTAAAACTTATGTTAGACGGACCCTAAATTTGGTGGCGGAGCTTTCAAAATCGAAAAGTCTTTTTATTGTAAAGATATTACAAGAATGACTTAATTGAAAAAAAAATAAAAAAAATAAAAAAAAAAGACGTTTGTTAAACTTGATTTTTGAGAAGTTCTTTTAGACGCAAAGTTCATTTTATTCATATGAAGTGTGTGGGAACAAAATGACCAAAGTCCTTTTGGTAGAAAATAAACACAAATTTACAATAATACCCTTATATAATTATTTAACCATATTAACACCGGTTTTGTCATTAAAAAAAAATACATAAACAACTAACTAATGAATAATAAAATAGAATATTTGTACCAATAAAATTGCATAATAATTATATTAACAAATAAATAATGTAAATTTTATTTGAAGAAGATAATAAATTTTCAATGATAAATGTGAACATGCCAAAATTTATAAAGAATTCAACTACTAATTTCAAAATAAAGAATAACGAACTAAGAGAAAAATTAAATAAAACTTTTAGATACAATTTAATGACATAGAAAAGACTATGGAACGATTTATTTAGTCGACTATCATATTGAATTAACAATCCCATCACATATAATGCCCATTTCTCCATGATTTTGCTGGTCCACCGTAGTATGCTTGTACATATCAACGTTGGCACTGACATAACCTTCATCATTGTCATATCATCGGAATTCTGCATCAATTATTACTTCTTGTCATATAAAATTGTGTAATGCTATTTATGCAACTATAATTAATCTTGTATTGGTACTGGGAAATTAAGAAGCCATGTGTTTTAAAATTGGTCACGGAGCTTTCCAAACACCAATACAACGTTCAACTAAATTTCTTAATAAATAATGAATATAATTAAATAATTCTTTTAACTACTCTTGGTTGGCGGTTTCTTTAAAATTCTTGTAAATGATAACGTACTCCTTTATATGATACCAAATATTGCACCATGTTAGGGTATTCAGCATCAACAAAATAGTATTTACCTACGTACAAAGAAAACATCATAATCAATAAGTTATATAATAAAATATAAAAAAAAGTAAACAAACTCAACAATACGAACCGCTTGAAGGTTTCATAAAGTTCATATGTCGCATATAAATAGCTTCGTGAAGTATACGGGAAACATGGGTTGATCCCTCCCATCCGGGGCAAATAAATGTGAGTACATATCAAATGATCAGACAACCATCACATTTTGTATGCAACCATCTTTACGTCTACACTATGGAAACTGTTAATTCACTGGAATCACTGAATCAACACGTGTTTCATCAATCTTACCAATGCACCTAGAATGAAATTTGTTATGAAGTCAATAATAAAATATTATTAAATATATAACAGAACATAATAATATAATTAATTAAAAAAAATTTATAAAAATTACCTTAAAATGAGGCCAATACATGGGATTGTTGCGTATATGTATAGGGAGGGATATCATCGAATGGTGGAGACACAGTAATTAACATTGAGAATCTTACTAGAGCCTTCAGAACTGTGTTAAAATACCTACTAGTCGTCTCACTAGAGACTAGAAATCATTATTGTAGCATTCTATTTATTTCATTATGGCCAATTATCATAATGAATATGACCATTTGCTACTCAACATAAATTCAACGACTATCTTCTAATAGATATCTTCTTTTGAGCTCTTGACAAAGTTGAAAAAATACTTTTTATTCCATGCGAAATAATTTGTTGGTCCCACCTTTGAATTAGGGTTTACCCTTTTAAATGTTAAAAAGTCTGTCATATGTTCTCTACATTGAGTTCTAAGTGATTCTAGCTTGAACAGTGTATATAATTGATCCCTAGGGGTAGCTTGGTCATTTCACAGTGTTAAGAAGACTATTCAAATAATCTAAAAAAGGCACATTGTCTTGAAGAATCTCAAGCCTCTTAAGGTTAAAAACCCTAGTATAGATATTGATATTTTACTACAGAGCATTTCAGGGGTAATTAGGCCTTTTCACACATGTATTATGTCATAATACACTTGTGTATGATAGTCCATTGTGTTGATTTGTTTCTATTCTCAAGTTGATCAAGTGCTGCAGAAGGCAATATATATTGATAAATGTCACTACAAGGGCATTTTGGTCAATACAAATTGCTGAGAATTCTTGTGACACATGTCCTGTGGTCCTAGTGTGTGAATATGCAGGCTATCATTCTTTGCTTAATGATTAAGCTTGTTATACATTCATATAATATGCATACACAAGGCTGTCAATGAGCTTGCATATTAGAATATATTTTCTATAAATGTGGCAGGGGTATTATGGTACATTCACAAGGGAATTACATATTATTTAATGGCCAATGATTGGATAATGGTGACACATACACTTCCTCTTTGAGATAGCATTTGTATTCATGATGTACTATATATATGTTGTTATAGAAATTTCTAGGGTTTAAGCCTTTGAGAGAACCTTAAAGTAAGCTACATTGAGAGTGAAATGAGAGCTGAATATGAATACACATTTCTAAGATTATTTGTAATGATTAAAACTTGATTTGAGCTAAGAAATACACTCAGAGAATTCACAAGAATAGATGATCAAATGGAGGCATGTTGCTGTGATTCTTGCTGGTGCAGAAGATGGTTTAGAGGTCTAAGTTTGGTTTGAGCTTGTTGTGGTGCTGAGACAAGGTTGAGGCAAGTGTA